CTTGAAAATGACTTTCATTGTGAAAAGTTGCATTTAGGTCCTAGCTTTCGATTAGTGAAGACCGCAAGCATCTACCACTTTTCTGTCAAACGTTATTCAAAAAACATTCGCGTCCATTCTTTTTTTTTACCGATAATAGTTCTTGATCGCATCATGTTTTACTCGGACTTACAACCAGACTCATCTGATCGAGAAAAATCAGACACACTATCATGCGCAGACCAATTTCTTCTCTCGTCCCAAATTGCTTTATTCTGAAAGAAAACTGATATCGGTGATGTTTCTATTTATCTTAGATAACTATTGTGTTGTATTGTATTGTTTCTATGTCGATAAAATTCAATACTTCCTACCATATTTATTATGCATAACATAGACGTCATTGTGTCAACATTAATTTTATTTTAGTGTAGAAAGTAAACTTTGGTGTTAGACTGTGAAAATTGCAATTTGATTACGTTACGCAAGTTGCTGTCTGAAATTAAACGACAGACACACTCTTCAACATTTTTCAACATGTATCGAGGCTTGTGAGCTGACTAAAAACGCTTCTTTATAGAATAAACCCATTTTTTGTTCTTTAATGGATACAAAAAAATTTAACTCGGGCGAAAAATCAAAAACTTTCATAAAGTAAAGAAACCCTGTTAAACACAATGGATTATAAAAGATTAAGAAACAAAACAAACTCTGATTATGCCATTTGAAACAGGATCACTTATGTCAATCTTTTGATTAAAAGATGGGTCAAATTCTTCCATTTAACTTCCAGACTACATTTATTTTACTTAGTTCCTGAATCTACTTCGAATAGTTTAATCAGAGGTTGTTTTTACCTACTCCTGAAATTGAGCTGTCAGACTGAGGAGTATGGCAATTTTGGCTTAAAGTCGAGTTTTTACTCGAAAGAAAAACTCAAACTCGTGAGATAGGTTTACAGCGTAAAGGAAAGAACGAGTGCAACACTCTAATAGTTTAAGCAAAGTGATGACGAAGCTGAGCTTTGCTGGCGAACGTATTCTCCTCTGGTATTATTAATTTACTGACACTCAATTCTAGACTGTTTTTCAAGCACCTTTCTTTGTGTCAGTTCTGCGTGAACATTGAAAACGGCCTGATTAATTACCAGTTAACGGTCCAGGTTGTAAAATGTATGCTGCCACTAGTTAAAATCATGTTTAGTATTTTTTTGCGATAGTATAGATTTTATTTCTGTATATTCAAATTTCAACCGCATAATCTAGTCAACCGGGTTTTTTGTATTTTATTGTCTTAAACACAAAAAATATATTCGCAATTAAAATAGAATTTATAGCGAGAAAAATAAGTGTGTTAGTTATGCAACTGTATGATTGTTGGATATTTCATGTTTTTTTCAAATTCCATTTCTCGCTGGTTTTTTGAAAAAAATTGTAACGCTAATAATACATAACATGCCATTGTTGCACATACTTCTAACATTTTACTATGTCGATCAAATAGAATTGCAAGTGTTTTATTATATGAATTTGATAAATTCTTATTACCATAAGCATAAAGATAAAAATGATGTGTTGAATTTGATTGTTTTTCATCATCATGAGCACGCTGATAATCAACAAACTCAAAATTTTCACATACAACAGTAGTGGTGGACAGAATAATTAGAGACCAAAACGAAATGCGTGACATATTGATCATATTAAATCTTGATTGTTATATGACTGTGCAAAAAATTCATATAAAATAAAAAATGCTATTGAATTTGTACTTATAACATCATGTGTTGTAAATATCGGTATTAATACAATCAATAGAATCTCTAATCGTGACATTAAATGAAATAATGAACGTACAGTTAACTCCATACTTACACCCTCCATACTTACACCATATTGACAATAACCTTTCAAATATCCAATGGCAATTACAACTGCACCATCAATTAAACTATTAATAATAAAAATCCCCATCATAAATTTATTATGAAAGTAATGTTCGTAATAATAAGCATGGGGACCGTCACCAGCTAATATACCGCACAGAGCTGGGCAACTTCAACTTCGGAGCGGAGGATTTTTTTGGTGGAGTTGGAGTTGGGTTTTTGAATTTTTATTCCCAACTCCATTTTGCATTTTTGGAAATATTCAATAGTTGTAAACTGATCTTATAAACGATTGAGTGGCTGTATTCACGAGTGAATTCGGAAGTTCTTTGCACTTTCCTGCCGAAAAAAGCTCAAAAACGTCCAGAATTCTGCCAAAAACCGAAAAATCTTCGTTACAAACGTGAAGCAACCGGAGTTGGACGGGAGTTGAGACTTTTGTTGAGAGAATTGGAGTTGGAGTTGAAGTTGAAGAATTTTGAGCAGAGTTGGAGTTGGAAATTTGAAAACGGAGTTGGAGTGGAGTTGGAGTTGAAGTCAGCGGAGTTGCCCAGCCCTGATACCGCAGCACATAATGAGTTGACATAATGAGAAAAAATAGAGTTTTGGATGTGTTAAATTAAATTTAACATCATATTGAAGATAATAAAATAGAATAAATATTGTTGATACAAGACCAGCATAATTATGTTGTTATTCACTATGACGATCATATGCATCAATAAGCCACACACCATCATCAACATATGCAAGGACTGCAAGCATTGGCAATAACCAATCTAAAAATCGAGACAATACCATCAAGAATCCATCATATAACTGAAACAATAAGTCGCCATTTATTTTGTTTGGTGTCTTCTCTAAGTATAAAGTCTCCTCAGTAAAATTTGCATGATAATTTCATAAACCTAATGAGTGCGTATTAACCAAGGGAGAAATAACCTCCAATTTGCTGCACACACTTCGAAGTGTGACACACCTCGAGGTGGTAAATACCCTAAAAGATTCGTGCCCATGACTTTTCAAGACCCGGTTTTCTGGAAAACTAGTTTTCCAGAAACTCTAAAGGATAGCCAAAACCTCTTTTTAATGAGGTATGATTTTAGCCCGCAAATTTCTGATTAAAATGAGACATCTCCCAGCTCTACACGACCTTTCTTTGCAAAGTTATAGAATTTACAAGAAAAGACGACTTTTTTGCTTCAGAATAGTAAAAAGCATTCTTGTACTTCGAAAGATTTCTAGAAAATCTTTTCAAAAACCAAAGTATTTTCTGTTGATTTTTAAAGCTTTTATTGAACTGCATAGTATTGAGCAGGTAAAGTAGAGTACACGTTGATATTCTGACATAATTTAGATTGATCTTGACTGGATTATGAATTTTTTAATTATACTCGAAAATAGGCAAAAGCGAGTTATTCCACCTAATATAGGTTTTCACTAGGTTGCTGGAAGTTTTCTGAAAAACAAATATTGCCACGAAATTCAGCGTGGTTGATTACCTATGCACAGTGGGCAGTTAGGCGGCGTTTTCTGAAAAAATCGTAAGTGCGAATTTTTTTGTTTTGAATAGTGGTGTATATAGTATAAACAATTCCCTATTTAATGATAAAAAAATTTTTGTTCTAGCTCCTTCCAAAGCTGAGAAAACTGAATTAC